AGGCAGCTTCAGTCTAACAACCTCCTTTCCCCCTTCCCTTCTTCCCTTGTGCGTGGGATAGTACTCTGCACACATGCTCATATCCCAAAAGATACATACAGCATAGCTCAGGTAGTAACAGAAATGTTGAATATTGTGGGCTTCTCTTTCTTCTGTGTGTGCAGTTTAGTGCAGCTTTCGGTAGCAACATATTTGTTCTCAAAAACAGTGGAGTAAAAGTCCAGCTTTTAATTTGGATTAAAGGGCTAGCAATGGTAAAGATACAGTGAGCAGACGCTTTAGTGGTCTTCTGCAGTTGTCTGGCAAAACTGAATGCCTTTTCCTTTTTTTTTAGGATGGCAACTAGCATCATGAAAAGCCTGATGGATCACTCTGTTCCTGAAGTCTAAACTTGCACCATGGATGTGTGTGTACATATATATAATGATGATTCCACTAAACTTGGGCTATTATACTCAGTGATCTTTCTTCTGCACATGAGCCTTTCTGGGGGCTGAGAGAAGATATGCTGCATCAAGCATTTGCATCTATAATGGCTGGGAATGTTACCGTTCAACATATCTCATTTATTCACACACTGTAAAACTCGTAGCCTTACATGCTTGACAAATGTGAAATTCCAATGGTGTTATGACTTCTTTCCATAGGTCTCTTATTTAGCTTACTACTTCTATAAGCCATTGCAACTAAAAGGAACCAGGTATCACTTGCAAAGTTGCGTGTTGTTACCCAGGACAATGCTGCGCTTTGTATGTCGAAGACAAATGAGTATTTTTACTGCTTTTCATTTGCAAGAGTAGGTTTGAAATAGAGTATTAGAAGTAGGTGTAGTACTAGTTAATTTTTTGTTCTAGTAAATACTGTTTACACAAGAATGCCAGCTAAGCTGAATATAGCTCAAGGCATCAGTCAGTAAGTAAACGTAATTAAAGTAGTGTACAGATACTCAAATCTTTTTATCACTTGTTATACAAATTGTAACTAATATGCTTATCTCTTGCCTTAACCGTGTTCTTTTAAGGATTCAGACATAACCAAATAAATGACTGAAACTTTAGATCCTGTGTGTGTGCGTACCTAAGATGAGCTAAGACAGGCTTGTTTTATTGAGGCAACAATGAAGACAGAAGTACAGTGTAAAATATTTAAATAAGCTCACTGCCTGCGACACTGAAATGTTTTAGAAGGAGAGCTCTGGGATACTTTAAACAAGATGTGCTTAATGGAAGAAATTCTTCACTGGGAGGGTGGTGAGGCACTGGAACAGGTTGCCCAGGGAAGTTGTGGATGCCCCATCCTGGAAGTGTTCAAGGCCAGGCTGGATGGGGCTCTCAACAACCTGACCTAGTGAAAGATGTCCCTGCCCCTGGCAGAGGGGCTGGAATGAGATGATCTTTAGGGCCCCCTCCAACACAAGCCAGCTACAAGACATGCCAATTGTAGAGTTGGAATTTAATTTGAACACTGTCTGCAGGTTGCTGGGTCTGGCTGTGAAGGAGTTAATTGTTGCAGGAGCTGGTGTGGTGCTGTGTTTGAGGCTTGTGACCAGGGCAGGGATGATAACACACCAGTGTTTGCTGTTGCTGAGCATGTCAAGGCCTTTCCTCGTTCTCACTGTGTCCCCCGCCCCCAGTGAGCAGGCTGGGGGAGTCAGGAGGCTGAGAGGGAGCACAGCTGGGACTGCTGACCCGAAGTGACCAAGGGATATCCCACCCCCTTTGAAATTATGCTCAGCAATAATTCAGGGGGAAATCTTTCCAAAGCAGTTGTTGCTTGGAGACTGGACATGAGTCTGCTGGTGGGATCTGGGATTACCTTTGCATCAATTTTTTAATTTTTTTTTACCCCTTCACTTAGTAAACCATCTTTTGCAATCCACAAGTTTTCCTGGCTTTGGCCCTTCTGATTCTCTTGCCCATCCTGCTGTGGGCAGGGTGAGGGGGGAAACTGTAGTGGCTAAGCTGCTGGTTGAGGTCGGGCCACCGCAACAGGTCATAGGCATGTTCAACTGAGACTTTAAAGTTCAGTGACTTTTAAGTTAAATACCAGTTGTAGTGATTTTTCTCTTTCCTTCTCCCCTGTTAACGTTCCAGGTTTCAGCTATGAAATTTAGGATTTAGGATTACTGAACTCCTCAGAGTGGGCAGTAGCCCAAATCATAGAACTTCAGTGTAGTATAGGTATTACTTGTTCTAAGATGGATTTGGGGAATCAGTTCAACTATTCCTTCAGAACTGACCTGGATCCAGATTTGGTCTGGATAGGCTGGTATCTATCTTAATTATTTACTTGCTTGTCCATTAAGAGATCACACCAAGAAGAAAGGAAACACTTCAGAGGTTGGCAGTGTGCACTAAACAGAGTCTCCTCTGCCAGTCCTTTATTAGCATGTGTAGTTTAATTGCAGGTTTTCCAGTTTGCAGGAGAAGCAGTAATGGTGAAAGAGTTGGAAACTTCAGTTGTGGATCTGAGCCACAGACCTGCTCTTCCTGGAATGACTGAAGTTTAGCAGTGGAAGCTCAGCTCTGCTTGTCCCGAAAAGCCTTGTTGTGTAGATTCCTGTTTCTCAAATTAATTTCTCAGTTATGATAATCAAGAAAAACCATCACACCACTTAAGGCTCTGGTGGTGATCAGATTCATCCTGGGAGTAATTTTAATTGGACTGTTTGGTTACTAAATTATACGTCTCTGGAACCACTTTGGCAAGTATGCACTGGCAGTAATCGCTGACTTCATCTAACATTGGTATAATTCAGCCTCATGGGCACAGGGCTTGTGGCCTGCAGCAGTCAGCTCTGAGGGCCTTGCCTTTAGCTATGAAATCCTTGGAAAAATCCAAAACAAACATACAGAAATGCTGATCTCTGAACCCTAATCAGTTTTTACTTAGGATCAGATGAGTCAGCAGAGGCCAGTTCTATACCTAATCTGGCTTTAAAACTCCTTATTTACAGGTTGATCAGTGGGGTTTGGCCACCTAAAATCCTTACTAAAATCTGTCTAAAACAAAAGGTAAAAAACCAGAGAGACAAAACCACATTGAGAGAACATAAGAAAAAAATACTTTTTGTTATCGAACAGTTAGCTGTAACTAAGGGGGAGATCTACTGGAAATAACGAACAGGTGGAACTTCAGTACAAGCAATTAGTGTTTTCCTTCTAGCTATAGCATGTAGCAACCAGAAGTGAAAGAATAATCAAAAAGCTCTTTAAGGCAAAAATTACCTAGCAGTGAAGAGTAACTTATGGTTAAATGTATATACATAGATAAATTCGAGCTGAGCTGCAAGGAAACAGTGGTCTATATGTAGTTCCTTGCACACATACGATTTTTTAAAAAAGCCCCAAACACAACATAGTACTGAGTTTAACTTGATTTCCGCCCCTCTTTAAAAGCTATGGCTGCTTTAGGCAATGGAGAAGCTGGCTGATAGCTGTTTTGTGAGCATGCTTTACAGCAGAAAGTAAACCTCAGATGCACTCAAGAGCTATGCACAGCAGGCATCCATATTTATCCAACAGAAAGTTAAGTGTATGTCCTCTCTGAGGCAGTTTTAAGTTGAAACTGAGGGATCACATCTTCAGGATCATTTTCCTCTGGTTTAGCTCAGCAGGAGGACCCCTAGTGACAAAGGACAATCCCCCAACACGTTTTCAGGCAAGTGTAGAAAAATCACATTCTATATTCTTTGCCTAGACACAAATATTTTTGGGAAATAAATAAACTGAGAGGTGAAGAAACTGCAGACACCAAACATTCTCCTGTAAGATTAAGACTGGTACCAGCAGGAATGTGTGATATGGCTTATTCTTTTGCCCCATGTGCCTTCCCCACACACACACTCCTTGATTATATAAACATTCAGTTATTCGCTAAGCCAAGTGACTGGTGCAGCTGAAATAAATACCAGTTTGGTTAATACCATTGCCTTACTGAAAAGAAAGTTCACACTCCAGCATAATAAAAGATCAGGGGAGTGAGAGAACAGCCCCTAACCATAGGCTGTTTGTTTTACACTGCCAAAGACAGAGCTGTGCTCTGGAATAGGCACTGGGTGTCAAACCCAAGGCAGGATATCTACAGACAGAGGATTGAGTGAAGATAATTCAGAAGAATGCTTGTCCTGGACACACTGACAGGGCACCTCAACACTGGCAGTGGAGAAAACCAGCAGAGAAATAAATACTGATCTTGGGTCATGCTCAGGCAACGTCACCACTGCGAATGCTTATTGCTGTAATAAACCATTTAAATACTATTTCAAGTCTCTCACTTCAGAAGAGCTCCTCCCAGAAAATGACACACTGAAGTTCTCCAGAGAAAGTAATCCTTGTGCAAAACTGTTTTGTCCCTGGTTAAAGAGAGTAACCCAGAATAAATCAGGATAAACCCAGGAGCTGTAGCTCTTTTAAATGCTGTATTTAAATTCTATCTCAAAGGGGATTCGAGTTGAAAGTGGTTGAGAATACCAAACAAAACATGAAAATGCTGGATTGCTAAGAGAAAGATAGTAACACAAATGATGAAAGGCAGTAGTAACAGCATAAAAAACTAACTTAAGGCACAAGATTAGGGGAATCTTATATCAACACATGCATCTGTAACCATTCTCTGTTAGGCAATCAGTTTTATGTTTGTCTGTCTTTCAGGCCAATACATTAGTGCTATTTTTCAGTAGGAAAATGCAGTATAGAATAAGTTCTTATTCTGCTCCTATGCCTTTGCAAATAGCCACAGCTGAAGGCTATCTAGCAGACCAGACTGACCACTGCTCAGAACAGCAGCTGCCTGGGTGTTCTCAGCAGTATTTACAATCACATGCATCTTCACTAGGAAGAAAAGGTGACTATAACACAGGAGGTACATGCATTATGTCATGAGACGCAATACAAAGCTGCGCACGTCCTAAAAGGCTTAAATTAAGAATCAAATGCTTCTTCTTTCAAACCAGTTCAAACAGCAAGCCATGATGCATTCCATGTAAAGCAAACAATGACTGCAAGTTAAGAGCTCTTTAATTACAGAAAAATAGGTCTTTAATTTAATATCAGATATCATTTTAGACAAGCAACTTCAGTATGATAGTCCATGAAAAACAAATGCATATGCTATGGAAGTTAAGAGCTCTCAGTGAAGTCACCATAACATAGAAAGTTGAACAAAGCTTCCTATCGGGTTGAACTTCAGTAACCATCATTGCACGCAGTTAAGTTCCTTTAAAAGGTTTGGTTTAAAATTAGAGTTCCTTTAAATGGCTGGAGGGAAAGGCACTTAGTATTGCAGTTTCCAGAACATGATTTGTTTGTCTTCCCCTCCTGTAATAACACTGTTGCACTGTTCATTCATCCACATGGCTGTTACAGCACCTGGGAAAAAAACCCAAACAACAAACAAGTAAATCCAAATGCAAATGGGTGTGGGACTAAGGAAGACAGAATAGATCTTCTTAAGAGAGTTGATCTTTGTCTGATCATTAGTCTGGATTACAGTGACACTACATATATTACGAAGAATTTCAGTAGGCTTCTAGGTGGCTGCTCCTCTTCACAGTAATGATCTCACACTCCATTGCCTCAGCTGACTTTGTGTATTAGAGGGACAACATCAGCTGCAGTGAGGAATGCAGGTGGCACAGTAGGGAAAGAGTTCCTTCAGAAAGTGAACTTTTTCGCTCAGCCATTAGGACTTCTCATGTTAAAAATATATTCACATCTTGTACCATATGCCTAGAAGCCCACTTCCAAAGATTCCCCAGCTACAGAATGATTTCTGCACAGGTCAAGTTCCAGAGTACAAGCTTACAGTGGGAAAGTTTGAAACACCTGCTCTTAGTTAAATAGCCTTAAAAACCTTAACGAAATGAAAGTAAGAAGTTTTTCTCCTTCACACAGCTAATGGTTGCTAATGTAGTATGACTGTACAGATAGATTTAGTCAGCCTAGAAGTCCCCGTCTAAAACTATTTCTCTAGTGAACTTTGCTCAATTTGTTGTTAGACTCAGTCTGGACAGACTGACAAAAGGCACAGTACAGTCTATACAATGCTTTGAGGGCTATCAGGTACAAAAATGTTGACTTTTGAGATGTTGTGTGAATTAGAAAAATTGAAAGTAATTTCCCTTTGGCCAGTATTGTAAACAGGAATATTCCTCCACTAGATTTCCTGTGAGGCTCACATGGACCTACTTTTAGTTCTGGTGTTCCAGGCAACCATAACACCAGGAACAGCCCACTGGCTGAGCAGATGGCTCCCACAATTTTTCAGTTATTACTCAATTAATATTCAATTACAGTGCTGAAAAACAGGAATCTTCCATTAATTTTGAGAATAGGAATAGTTCAGGCATACCTGTATGTCCGTTGATTCTTTCAATAACTTTTCCTCCAAGAAGGTCCCAAATCAGTAATTCACCAGACTGAGCTCCCGATAAGATGGTGTTTCCATCCCATTTGAAGCACCTGCAAAAGTAAGTCTGAAATCAGTTCATGTCAAGCTTTTGTATAATGAGAGCCAAATACTTCCAAACTAAGTCAAAAAACAATTGAAAACAGAGGTACAATACCAAAGGAAACTCTACTCTTTAAGACAGTCTTTCTGGAAACATTATTACTGAATTATTTTAAATGGTCATGACCCAAACTGGCTTCTCTGACTGCCCTAGATCCAGCCAGACCTTCTCCCCACAGAAGGATGAAACATATTTCCATAACAGAAGAAGACCCAGTCAGCCACATATATGTATGATATCTCATAACTCTCATGAGCCACCACTTTCACTTCTGCCACTTCATATTCCTGAAACAATCACTTTGTGGAAAAAAATGATCAGTCTTTAATTGTAACAGCCAATCTTTCCTTAAGATTGTTGAAAGAAAAAGAAAAAATTTAAAAAATAAATCAGTAATAGTGACAGATATGATTTAAATAAGAGAACTGTCTCCTTGCTAGACATCTCCATTGCTCAGCTGCTGGAAGACCTGGCTAGCTATAGCTGTCATAATTTTTTATGGACCTTAATATTGTTGTTGAAAAAAAACCCCAAAATAATTATTTACTTAGCTATTTATTTGGGGTTTTTTTCCCAGTTTGGAAAACTTGATCATAATGCACACAACATTCTAGAACATCAGACTTTGTACTCTAAAAAGTAATACACTAAAATAAAGTTGCTGGCACTAGTGCTCTTTCCACTCTGCTCTCACCAACCATCTCCACAGTTAGCTAAGTTGGCTTTGCAGCTTTGTAACATGCACGTTTTCAGCATTACCTCTGTGGCTCATCAGTGGTTACAGAAGATATAAGCATTCCAGTTTGTACATCTATTACTTTAAAACAACAGTCCTCTCCTGTGCTGAGTAGATGTCTGCTGTCTGTACAAAAGAAGAAAGCAAACAAACATAAAAAAAAAAGGCATCTTTAGATATTCAGTTCTTGTTACCAAAGCAGTCTGCAATACAGTGTGTTGGATGTGACGTTGCCTGACCTACTTGTCTATAAATAATTTACTGGAAATTACTTGCTGAGCAAGCAATGATGAATGAGATTGGTTTAGAATCTAGACCACTGGTCTACAGCCTAGCACAGCCTCGTGCACAAATAAATTGTTTATAATGGAGACGCGTGGCAATCCAAAACATCTCACCATCCCGCTTACAGTAGCGATTCCAGTAACATGGGTATATTGCACAGTATCAGGAATAAGATTCCCTTCGAAATTCCCAAGGTGCATATTAAAAACTGAAATCCGACGTACCAGGACTAAAAGCAGCATCAAATACAGTCCCAGAATGACATGGCAACTGGTGTAACACTGTTGCTGTAGTAACATCCCAAACACTAATGGTACCATCTTTGGTTCCAGATGCCAGTATGGTATTTGCAGCATTAAGGTCGATTGTATTTACCTAGAAAGTTAAACATTCCAAGATTTTCCTATTCTTTCATGTGAGCCATCTTGAGAGTTTTTAAACATACACAGAACCAAGCCCATTATCCCTTAGATGATATTTTATTTACAAAAAGCTTATAGTTTAATTCTGCAACATTCTTAGGTATAATTATGAAAAATTCAGACCATAAAAGGTAAAAAATAGGTTGTATTGATGACATCTTACAATGCTTGTGGTTTGCAGAATCAGAAATGCTAGGTGACATTTCAGATTATTTTTAGTTCCCATATTCTCTATTTAAATGTTAAGACTTTTCCCTTTAAGGGTAAAATTCTTTACTTTTAAAAAACTTTCTACCCATCAGTTGTTTCCAATTATCTTCAGTACAGTTCTTAAATGTCACCAGAACTGTTTCAGTATTTGCCTACGTTGTGACATGTTAAGGTTTAGAACACAGTAATTCTAAATATCTTACTAGATTGATGTTAGAGGCTATAAACAAAGTGTGCAGTTACACATTGATGATTCATTGCACACAATGTGTTTATATATTTATTGTGAAATTCACTAAGATATTTTACAGTATGGTAAACAACTCAGAGGAATTTTTTTGTTTGCTTGCCTTACATTAAGGGGCAGCTGTAGCAACCTAAATATCTGAAAAAGATTAGTCTGCTTCCAAAACCAAAGCAGCAAACAAAAACGCCACCCCAGACCTCCCTGCCCTCACAGGGAAATACAAGCTGAGGAAGGCAAATTAAGAAACCTCTGTTTATTCAGAGAAATTTCAAACTCTGTTGCTTCAGTTCCCCAATGAGGACCTTTCAACTCAGGAAGCAGGGGACAATAGTACAGGATACATCAGACAAAGAAAACCCCCAAATTAAACAAGAAGTCCCGATACATATTTCCCAAAACATGCCTGCTTAGCCCACTAACCCAATCCTTGTGCTTTACCACTAGATCATGACTTTGATTCTAAATGAGTAATTAATTTTTTTATTCTAAGACAGAATATCAACATACTTACACTAACATCATGCTCCAACTCTGCAAGCAGTTCAAAGTGGTGCTTTTTATTGCTCAAAGTCTCTCCAGGAACACAGTGCCACACCTACAACACAGATAGTTAGGTTTGCTCAAGGAAGCATCAGAATAACCCCTGATGAGTCTCTTCTGAACTCTCAGGATACAAGGAGGACTGATGGTGCTCATTGTGGGCCTTGCCTACATGACAGAATACAGCAACAAATGGCACCTGAACTCATTTACCCTGAGCAGAGACACATACTAAACGTGACTATGCTGATCCCAGATATTCTACAGGGGCCCACCTGTGCATGGGTATATCACTGCACTGAATGTGTAATTACCAAAAAGCCACACACAAGGAAAATTTGGAAAATTATTTTCTGTCTCTAATTCCAAATTATCTTTCCACCTAACTGTAGGCATGCTCTTTAGAATTAGCAAGTTTCTGGTTGCCTTAGCCAGAAGGTTGAAGAACATAAACTACAAAACTATTAAACATTTTAGAAGCCTATTCAACTCAGGAAAAAGAATCACCAGTCAAAGTCAGAAAACATTCCAGTTCCTCCAACAAATACAGTTTGCCTCCAAAACCGCCTGTTTACAGTAAGTTAGAATGAATGGATTTTCTTTAAAAGTAACACTTCATCTTTGAAACAGTGGAGATAAAGCTATATGAAGAATATATTCTAGAAATAAATTTACTCTGCTGCTAGCTAAGTTATTATTCTAGTACAGCAGGTATATCCACCCCAAAGCATTTGGCCAGCTGAATTTTATAAAGTGCCAGCTATAAATAAATAAGGAAGTGTAATAAACCCATCTACAAACCTTCACAGTGGAATCCCAGGATGCTGAATATAAACGCCCATCACGCCAACAGATCTTACTGACTGCATCATCATGTCCCATTAGGATGTCTTGCTGTCTTCCAAATGCAACTGAATAAAAATATCTAACAGGAAAAGGTTATAAAAACGTTCCACCTTCATAAAACTTTTTTTTTTTTTTAAGTAAAAACTAAAAGCTTTGCCTCTGTAGTTTCTAACAGATAGCTTGTAGAAAAAAATAGAAAATAGACACTGTATTTTAAAAATTAATTTCTATATCATTATCTAAACCCACAAACATAACAACCAAGGCACTCCATGCAATTCAATGAAGTAAATAAGAAGTAAATACACACATATGATTGTCCCATGAAGAACTTATGACAGTGGTATCTCCTGGTAAGATTAGACAAGACGACAAAGCCTGCAAGAAAAAGAAAGAAGTAGTGTTCAGTTTCTTACCCCAAATCCAATAGAAGTGCATGAACATGCTTTTGGAGAACAAGAAGCATTTCAATCTTCTATAAATATAACACGCTGGTGTTATATGAACAGTAATCAAGAAAAAAATTGGACACTAAACAGCAAGAATACTTAATCTCTGCTAAATAAATGGAGCACTGAAGTTCAGAAACACATGCAGAACTGATGGATCTTCTTTTCAAGTGCTGGTATTTCAAGGTATGTAATTCCTCATACAGGAGAAACTGGGTCAGCTCTTCATCTTGTAAGCTGCTGTCAATTCTGTATGCAAGCAACTATCAGAAACTAAAAATGAAGGTTTCTTTTGACGTTTGCTGTCCTTCACAGCTACTTATCAGCCCAGCTCTTTCAGCGAACAAATGTAACTACCTAAGTCCTAATATTCTCAAAAAGAAACATTATTTACAGACACCTGCTCAGTTACATTACCATCATTGGAAACAACAAGGAAAAAAAAAAAAAAAAAAAAAAAAAAAAAAAAAAAAAAAAAAAAAAAAAAAAAAAAAAAAAAAAAAAAAAAAAAAAAAAAAAAAAAAAAAAAAAAAAAAAAAAAAAAAAAAAAAAAAAAAAAAAAAAAAAACCAAACCACCAATCAGACCAGTGCTTCTACTAGTCATATTTTAGATCTGTTTGAAAAACAGTAAGCTGCTGGACTGTAAAGACTGTTGCTTCTAGCATTGCTGCAACAGATCAGCACTAAAACTACAGAGAGAAGAATAAAAGAATACAAGAATAAAAGAATACAAGGCCTCCTCATGAAAAACAGACTTTTGGCTTAGGAGTCGGAGCTCCCTTCTTACAGTGCCAAGAAACAATGTTCCTAAGTCTCCCTTTGCTATAGCAGTAGGAATTGCTGTATCTAGATTCACCTGCTACCATGTCCCAGGGCAGGCCATAGGGTCTTGATCCTGCACCTTACTTGGTGACTAGATGGAGCAAAAAAAAAAAATCAAATTCAGAATGTCTTTCCAAGCTCTGTTTTAGGAGCAGAGGGAAAATGTTGTTCAGAGGTTGCAGAGATCACTGCTCATTGGGGAAGCATGGCTCAAATTCACCCAGCACAGATTCCACTCCCTGTGCTTGGTTTTCCTCTCCCAGCTGACTGACAGCCTTCAAACACTTGAGTGCAGTAAGGCAATGCTGGATGTGAGCGTGGCATGGGAGGAATCCAAGCTTTGTGATTCTGGTCCCAGTGGCAGTTCAGTGTTGGCTCAGGAAGACTAGTCTCTGCTCACGCCAGACCAGCTTTGTCTACCACAAGCCCTTCCCCTGGATAGCAGGCCAACTCAGAACAGAGCTAGTGCAGAAGTGCATCCATTTAATGCTCCCTCCCCACGTTTGCAGAACGTGCTCTGTCTCTCTGGTGGCCTGACAGAGTTTCAATTCACTCTGCTAAATTATTCACACAGCACAATTGAGTAGGCAGGGGAAAGAAAAGAGGCATTGATGTATGCTTAGAGCCATCTCTCTGAGCAGCTTTCAGAAGATTCCCAGTGATCTTGTTTTTATTTTGACAGCAACTTACCATGTTTGAAAAGGACACACTTCTCTGGATAGTTTTTGATTCTTTGGAAAACATCTTCAAAGTTGAATCTGGGGAAAATGGACACAATAGAAGATAAAATGACTATTATAAAGGATAGTAATTTTGCTCTTGCTTGAATATTCAAATACCTTACTATGGAAAGCAAATATAGGTTTCTCATAGTCTGAGAAACTCCTCTGAAGCTTGTGACGTGGGCCTGGGCCTACCCTGTTTTGAATCAGTTACATGTTCATTAAACTCTAGGAGAACTCTGGTATCTAAATGAAGAAATTTCTATTTTTATCTGCTATTACCAACATTATCTTCCCAAGCCTAGATAATAGTGAAATCCTCGAGTCAAAGTCATATAAAAGTTAACAAATTCATATACTTGAGCTATTTAATTACAGGAAATATGTATTTAAATGTCATGCCATTTTGTTCAAAAACAAATCTGCATTTGGTAAATACCTCTGCAATAATACTTACCTTGGGATGTAGTGAAAACAGAAGACCCATTCCAAGGGACTGCTATTCCAGTAATTGCCCTGTTTAATAGAAATAAGCTTGTAGGTGACTTCATAGGTTTTAAAACTTAACTACCATACTATAAATAGACTACAGTTAAAATCTGTTATTTGATCTCTGTAAGAACTAAGACATTCAAGGAGATTAAAGGCACTGCAGTGGTGTGTTATCTGTCCTAGAGACAAAAATATATCTTGATACAATAACTGAAACGCTACTACAGGACCCCCATAGTGTGCTATCAGAAAGTGTGCTAACAATCTGGCAGCAAAAGCCCTTTTTCAACTACAAATATTACCTTGTTTTATGAACGTTATAATATTTTCCTAGATTGGGTTGCAATCACCAAGAAAGTAGCTGGAATCAAGGTAGCAAAAAATCATCCTAGTAGTCTGGTCACTAGGACAAGGGATGGGGCCAAAGAAAAATCTGTTCTTTGATAATACCTAATAATGAACAATGTCAGCTATATTTCAAAGTTCACCTAGGTGGCCCTGCTGACTCTTGACTCCCTAAGAATCCATCAGAACAGTAGTTTGGTACCTGGATTAACTGAAAACCTATAGCTGGAGACTTGGCAAACTGCTCACACAGCAGCAGCTTGAGGTGTACAGAAGCTGAAGTTAAGTGTTTAACCTTTCAAACCAGATGGGATGAAGAAGTTAGGTCCTCCTGGGGTTATAAAAAAAATAAATTGAAGTCTTTATCTCGCTGCTGCTATCAGTTTCAGAGAAGAGTAATCAGTATCTGCTTCAGGTACTAAAATGATAATGAATTTAGCTCTAGCTCTGCATAAGGAGCAACACCAAAAAAAAAAAAAAAAATCGAGCTGACAAATACCTTTTCTGGATTGATAACCCACCATATACTCAAACTCATCTAGCGTAATCAAATCAATCACCCATCTCGCAAAGAAAAGTATTTACCTGAAACCCTAACCCATCATTCAAACTGACACACAGATCCCCCACCCCAATTAAATGGAAGAATTTTGACTGAAAAGAATAGTACCTACTCTTTGTGAATTTTATATTGCTTATCTAATTTTAATTTGGCAATATTGTTCCAGGCAAGTGTTATACTTTCTTCTGTCAAATCTTCAAATGATTCTTCATTTGGAGAAACTGCAATAAAATGCAATGACAAAGTTTCATCACAAACAGAAAATAAGGACAGATTTCAAATGTCTAGGTAGCTGAAGTTGCAGACATAAATATGAAAGTAATGAAATAATGCAGAGCTCCAGGAGTAAGACCTTTAGGCTAATGCAGAGAGTGACAAGGTGAGTAACTTTTTCCAAATCTCTTCCTATTTTTGACTGAGTAAGCCTATGCTAACTAAGGATTTTTCTCCCCAAACCAGGGCTTTGAAAAATGCAGACTTTACAGAAGATAATTCCAAAATGGAAAACAAACAAAACAGAAAAAACAAAAACTTCTATGCTAAGATGTTTTGGTATCCTTCAAAATGCTAAGAGCTTTCCAAAAGGAAAAATACTAGGAAAGCAATTTATGCTACAACGAAGCACATGCTTTTGTTTTTCTATTGCCCTCTGTTATGAATGTCACAACTTCATTTAACTGCACTGTTACAAAAGTTAAGGAGTAGAAAAATGCAACAAGATTGAGATAATTAGGTGTCAATTACTATAAAAAGGTTAAACCCAAGAGGAACTGTTCACCTGTGAATTAATTACTTAGGCAGCATACCACTACATGTATTTAACACATATGACCATTATCACCACATACAACTTTCAAAGCCACTCTTGCCATCTGGATGTTACAGGTTGCTACACTAAGTAGCACTCATCTTCACTCCTCTGCTTAAAAATGAAGACTATCAAATGGGTAGGTAAATTAAAGACAACCAAATGAGAAAAACCTTTCCAAGTGATACCTGGCCTGAAGATTCAGTCCAATTTATAGTTAGATCTCTGAACATATGACGAGGACAATAGCATCTTAGTTTCAGAGAAGTGGTGTAAATTCTGCCTTGAACAGAAGTCTGTCAAGGCATTAAATATCCTTTTCTTGAAGTTATTTTATCAGCTTTGCCCCTACAGTATTTAGGGGTGGAAAAAAAAAGAGTACTTTCCTTACATATTTTCATTCAGGTCATGGGAAAGGGAAAAAATTCAGACGCTTAATTTATGTTATTAGAGTTTACTCTGATCAAGTCAAATGGTCACCCCAAAGAACACCCCTGTTAAAAACCTGAACAAATCTTTCCACCATCTAGAATGCCTGCAGACACTATCACTGAAACTGTTGTCATATCAGCTTGAATTTAAAATGTTGTGAAAGACCAGGGATTATAGCCCTCCCACAGCTCCAGAAGCAGAGGCTGAACAGTCCCAGAGGAGACCACCAGAACAGAAGGCAAAATGCAGGACAAAGCAGGACAACACCTTTTCAAATTTGACACTGGTCTCGTCTGTTTTTCTTTACCATTTAGTTCATGGACTTATTTTGAGTTGGCTTACAGGGAATGGAACCAAGAGAGTTGTATAATGAGATCCTGGGGGAGAAAGACACAGAACTACTCAAAGTTACAAATTCTTTACATCATCAGTTTATCTGTTAAACATTTACCTGGAGACTCAGCTAAGGAAATGCTGTGACTCGATGTTCGAGACAAGCTTTTCAGCCTTGGTACGATCCTTTGAGGATGAGGGGTTGTAAACAACTGCTTTGGCGTCTGTCCAAACTCCAAGATTTGTGTCAGGAGAGCTACTTTTTCATTGGGGTCCATAATACTTTATAAAAGAAGATATATATTTAAGGCAAGAAAGGGAGTATTTTTTTCCCCCTCCCCTTCCCCGAAAGCATGGGCCTGCATGTGCACTTACTACAGCACTATAGGCCATCACAAATTCCAAAAGAACTGATCTACCACAGATTTCACACAGTCATATGATAGCTGCATCATTTTGTTTATGTACAATGACAATATGCTCATCAATTGAAAAAATGAAGCAATTTCACAAAAGCTGGACTGAAGAAATGTTCAAGTAACAATCTTCCAAGGCATGCTAAAACTGAGAACATGATGCTGGTTCCCTGCATATTTGGGAGCATGAAATAGAAGAACTACACCGTTCATGTACAGAGCCCTTTTACATCTGGCAGAGAATTTGCAGAGATACTGAGAAACTCAGCTAACTGCTTTAACAAAAACATTCAGATTCTTGATAATTACCTGTTTAAATCCACTCCTCCTTCATAAGTTAATGGGTGAAACACTGGAAAAAAAAGTTTATTTGTACAATGTAGATATACAAGGCTCATTCTGTTGGTCTTGCTATAAAACAAAGATTTCTTTTTTACTCATCTTGGGTATATTCAAGTAACTAAGCTATTTCAGCAGGCTATAGACTTTGAGGTCTTTCTTATGTTTTAATCCTGTTTTTTCAACCTGAAAGAAGTTTAGGATTTCTAAGAGACTCTTGGAAAGTTTCAAAGGAATCAGTCCTTTCATAAAGGAAGGATGACTCATTAAAGCTTCATTAAATACCTTCTGCCAGTTAATGCAGAAATAAATAACAGTTGCATAACTGGATCTCTGGTTAGTTTTTAGACAAGTAACAAAAAGTAATAAAGAATGATCAGAACGGTCTGTGTATTCACCTTTTCATTTGCCACGATGTGAACTACTTTGGGGCCTCTGCATAAGAACATCTACTTTGACATAAGTTCATTTATACATATATATTATCCACAGATCCCCTCTGTCTCTTATCTACTCAAGTGTTTGCAATTCATTATGCTAATAAAATCCATACTGCAGCAGAAGCAGCATATTATGCATAAAAATACTCTCATCTGAGAGGTAAAAATAGAGGTGCCATAACTGATATGCTTATTTACCGTATTTAGAGCCTCTGATACATTGTAATTGACGCTTACAGTCACAGCATGACTGGTTGCCAAACCCTGAAATTCTAAAATACAGCCGAATCATGCTTTAAGGACATGTAGGAAAGTACATTAAAAAGAAATCAACAACAACAACAAAAAAACCCACCCAAAACCAAAACTACCCCCCAAAACACCCCATCACAAAACAAGCTACACTATCCTACCCTGGAAGCAAATACTGACTACCAAATGAGGAGTTATTTATTTCTTCCCTCTCCACTACCGTAGTAAGGTTTTCTTCCTAAACTTTTTCTGTCTTTTTAAGTGCAAACTATCTCAACATTGTCTGTTACTTATAATCCTTCAAAAGGATCAGTGCTTCTGGAATAAACACCCTAAAAATCTGATCTGCTAATCTTCCCTTACGAAGAAGACATTTCCTTATCGTCTAGTAACATACACAGCTAAATATGAGGCTGCTGAATAAGTTAATAATTGACATTACTATTAGGTTTAGGTAAATACTTCAACACAGCTCATTTGTAAGTACCCACAGTGCTTACACACATTCATGACACATGTTCAGAATAAGATTGCAAACAGTGGAACTTCCCACATGCAGTAGTACATAGGTAGACAAGGAAAAACACACAAATCCTTCTTTCTTGCTCCAAAGAGCTGTAGCCCATTAGCCCATTCTTTCCCTTGCTAGTTCTCTCAGGAGGAGGGGAAATATGACATTGAGATTCTTATACTGCAATTGAAGTGGGGGAAAGTTCAATAGAAGTTTACGTGGAGACCCTGCAGACTCCCACTTTTAATAGGGAAACACTAACTCCATCCTACAGTGCCACACCATGCTGTGTGAGCAATTTACAGCAATGCTACAGAATTTTCTTGCCTACCACCTTAAGTACACCCTCAAAGATACAAATCACCATGAAGGCAATGTTACCAGATAAGTCATTATTTCCAGTACTGAACAACTGCATTTCCTTCAGGCATCAAGCATTCAAAGCATTTTGTTACGAAAGCTCAAAACAAAACAAGCATTAGATATGTTGTTATTTACCATTCCTGCCTAATTGAAGCATCCCTTTTTTTGCTGTTTCCATAAAGTGTTTATTTACCATTGTGAGCTGCAACTGCTTCACTTCCTTTCTGCTTGTAGCCAAATATTATGTCAATCCATTCATGAAGATGTTCTGATACATACTGACTTTCTAAAGCCTCTTGGCTCTTCTGAAGGAAGTCATCAGGACCTAACAAAAGAAGGGTTAATTAAAGGAGAAGATAAGCCACTCAGTATTGGTATCCATCTCTGTTCCTCCTCCTCCTTGAAAAGCCAATCAAACACCCCCCCACAAAACCTCAAACTTTTTATAAAAATTAAAAGCAACTATTAATTATATCAATGTTTTAAAGAAAGAATTACTTTAGAAGAAACCATAATGTACCAAATTTTTGAGGAAGAACTACCATTCCAGGAACCCAGATAATCTTGAATTAAGGTATACAATACAAGAAGTTTGACTATTATTACCTGATGCCCAAGGTGGAAGCTCTACATCTTCAACTATCTTTCCACCCTGCCTTTTTCCTAAGTCCAGTTTCAAACTGTTTACTAGAAAACTAGGATCATTTTCATAAAATTCCGGAATCAACTGGAAGTTAAACAAACAAACAAAAAAAGCAAGTTTTGAGATTAGCTTAGTTTCGATCACTTAAACAGATACATTCAATACAAAGAAAGTTACCAAAGTTCAAAGTTTGTATGTCAAATCCTAAAGCTGAGCATTAATTTTTCAAGTTTTACCTACAAGGCAGTTCTGTGAGCTAAATTTAAATTCAGAGTGGTATACATATTTTAACATGTAATGTGTGACATAGAAAACCGTAATATCTATGAGTATCTTCAGAATTCTTATTGCATAGCTAACTTTTCATTTTCAATACACCAAGTAAGAATAAAGACAAAAATCTAGAATAAAACTAGAATTACGACAGAAGTTGCAAAGGTTAAATCAATTATTTAAATACCTGACCATCATAGCTGACCATTAACTATAGACTTTTTTTATCACTGTATTAAATAATCTTTCTTTGAGAAAGGAGTTTAACAGTGCTCACTACCTGACAGCTCATTACTCTCAACATATTATACAAGTTATAGTTTCTTAAGGCTCAAAAAAGCTAAGATACTACTTCTAGAGTTTAACTTTTCCAGATGTAGTGTTGGAATACAGCCAAGACTTTACAAGATTTCAAGAGACAATACATAAAATTACATCTTTGCAGCCTTAATCCACTCTGGTAATTCCCATTTATTTCCAGTAACATTCACAGTGATATTTCTGCTAAACTAAAATCCAGAAAACAGACACAGGCAATCAATCATGGAATTACAGAATTGATACAGGATTAAAATAATTAATAAAGCATTCATACAAAGTAATCGTCAGCTTTAAAAAAAAAAAACCACCTCAAAAACAAACAAACAAAAAAAGCAAACAAATCCACACAACTGAAAACCACAAACAACAAAATAAAAAACCACCAAACACACCCCAAACAAAAACTCTCAGATCAACAGATGAGAAAGCATAGCACAGATAACAAGAAACATTTGAATAATTTTCCAGCCATTTACCTCTTTGAAATCTGTCGCACCATCCAAACAGTTTTTCCAGGTTTCTGCAATACTAGATAATACAAAAAATAAGAAATTATTTTTAAGGCTTTTCACTCCCCATTGGTGCATATTTGAAAACAAAACCAGACTAGCTACAGACCAAATGCAAACAAACCTATTGAACATTCTGTCAGCGTGATCAAACTTTCCATTTTGCAGGCAGAGCATGTATTCTGGAGCTAAGGAGAAAAAACAAAATCATCAGCTTGCTCCAAGCCTTGTATGCTTTGGAGGTAACTGTGTGCTCAGAGAGCATGTACAAGCTGTCTTACCAACTCTAACGAGATAAAACAAAACATAACCCGGAGATGAATAATGGCTTCCATACATGAACTTAGGCTCTGGCATTTCCTGATAACGTGTCTGCAACAAGAAGAAAGAAATGTCTGTTTAAAATCAGCATTCCTGCTTTCCCTTAAGACTAAACACATACACATTTTTTTAAATGCACAGATTAGGACCCTCAATTATTTTTCTAACAATAGATAAAACAAACTCTTAAGTTCTAATAACCATGCAGTTTTAATCAGAGTAAATCGATACAGTAAAACAGTTGTTAAAACTGATCATCCAGAACTATCAGATATACAGGATATTTTTCTCCCTCACTTTCATATGTAACTGCAATGACTCAATTTCCAAGGTATGCAAACAGACTTCCTTTTTGTCTTTCACATCAAGTTTAGTGAGAGTATGGAAGAACATACTGACTTCATTCAACCTGGAAGATTCCTTCTTGTCTGAAGCTCCTGTGTGTTACCCTAAAACCTATCATAATCTAAACAGAATAACTTTTACTGCAGTAAGTATGAGGCAGATAACAGCTTGAGAAAAGTCAGAGTTTAGAAATTAAACCTAATCTACTATTACTGGAAGCATAATATTGATAATGTTCTTACCTTCCACAACCTTATGAAGCTATATGATTTTGAAACATCTTTTTTATCAATATAATGCAGTTATTCTGTCAATATTTTTTCTAATGCTTTATTAAGAACTAATAAAGGTTCCAGCACATTAAATATAGTTAGTGTTCTGTATATTATTTTGGCATAATAAACTTTCCATAGGAGACAATGATTTTACACAAAGAATTAAAACCCAAGAAACTTCTAAGTCTGTAACTATGCGTTTGACAACTTATGAAAAGAAAGCCTACCTACTTTGAGAAATGGAAAAACTTGGTGCACTATTATCTGCACACAGAATTTTCAAGTTGGTGCTCTGATCTCCATGGCAGATTTCCACCCTTTGAAGTACTCCCTCAAATTCAGCATTTTTCTTCATGGAAATAAACTTAAGATTTCTATCACTGTTTTCTTTTTCCTTTTTTTTTTTTTTTCCCCCAAATGTATTTTACATGATGCATTTAAATCCATTGGTCTTGAAGTTTCATATGTCCATGTATGCTTATAGCATCTCAGTGCTTACCATACACATACTTAAATGGATTTGGGAATATTATTTTAAAAGCAAGGGAAAACATTCAAAAGCATAACATATGAAATAGTAGTATGAGAGATGAAATGGACTCTAATAATTTTACATTAGTACTGAAAAAAACAATACTGATGAAATTAAGTTAAAAATAAATGCAGTATCATTATAGGTATGTTTGCTTCTGATAAGGTTTATAGTTAGTTTTAGATATCTACGTATTTCCCAAACCTTGCTGAACAAAGCTTCTTTTATTGCCAGTAGGTACAAGGCCAAGAATGTGCAGCACATAAATGCCAAGATATACATACCAGTAGCCTATCCAGCCTTTCCTTATTCAGGGCACCAACTGGCTTACTAAGGTCACGAAATGTTTCAGGCTTTGTCAGATCTAAAAAAAAAATTTGCATAGACTAAGTATTTTACTAGACATTCATGTATTCTAATCAATATTTAAAAACAAAAGAATAAAACCTACCCAAACAGCAACAAAACAAACAAAAAACAACACGGAACCCCTTCAGTAATTTTCTCTCTCCCTACTAACTGCAAAATCATTAAGTCTTGTTGTAAATGTTTACTCATCTTCTTCCTTCCAAGTAGACAATCTCATAATCTCTTGCTTAAGAACTAGTAGTTGATGTATGAGACAGTTACTGCAATTAATATTACTTAGGCAAGGTCTTGCTACCTGAGGCACAAAAACAGCTAGTATCATCTTCTTCCTACTCATTACCTATTCTGTCAGGCTGCAGTCAAGTCCCACTACTGAAGTGGCTGGGCAGATGCTGATGAATACCATGAGATATCCCTATTCTATTTCTTGTAGAAGGACACAATCCTCAAAAGGACCAACTTCCCACACAGGCTGCACTAAGATCCTTAATCAAGGAGCCGATTTAGACACAAGCCTTGTCAGACTCTTCCATTCAGCTTGTAGCATTAAGAATTATAAATGAATACCTGGGTTCTCTACACATTTCAGTGCATCAAAGTTGTTCCATAAAAAGTAATTTTACTGGTTCTTTTCCATTTTTTAGAATCACAGAAAGGCTGTGAATGCTCAGTACTGCTGACTTGCAAAGCAACCAAGGAGATGTTTAGTAAGTAGTCTGTATGTGAGTAGTGCAATATTTAACAGAAAAAGGTAAGGTATTTTGTCCCCTAAACCAGAGGGGAAGGTTAAGTCCACAGGAAAACATCCAAGGTCACCCATGCTGGCTTCATTTTGATATTACATGAACTTTTTGCAGTGTAAAAGCCCCCATATACACGCATTTCAGGCTGGACATGATGCAGTAAACATGACTTTTTTATACACATACCTAATACTGAACTAGAGTAGTCTGCTATGATCCAAGGAAATACAGGATACTGGGAGAGATCGTTGCAGCTTCTATCAGCCAGATTGTTGAGATGAAGAAGGTACTGGTAATTTGATATATGTCCTCGCTGCCATTGCAACATATAACTTTCAGCTGTATGCTCCGCAATATGATTTTCTAAAATAAAACAAAACATTAAGAGTTGTGAGGTTTGGAGTTCCACCCCCAAATTATACTGTGATTACCATTATGCAAAATCCTATAAAATAAGTAAGGGCATAGTTGTTTAATAGAACAAGTCAGAATCAAGTGGAAACTTCATGTTTCAATAGCTACCGTATTTCTTACTTTTTTAAGATCTTTTCAAATGGGCCTAAACTTCATCATTCAAGCAAGAAAAAGAATAAAGGAGTGATGAAACTAAACAAAACGAATGGATGAACATTTATGAAGTTACAGAAAAATGTTTCCAGACCATGACCAAGGCTCTTGGCAATGTGGCAATCTTTAAGATTTCAAATTTCTAGAAGCAGTTCTGCTAGGGTCAAGAAAAAAATTAAATACATTTTCTTACTGGTCAACTAAGGATACCCACTAACAATGATGTCTGGAAAGAAGTCATTTGTCCATGAACAAGATTTAATTTCGGAAACAGTGAAATGGAGACTATAGGAAAAGAGAACTTGACCCCCACTTAAGAAAAAAGGAATTATGCACCTGGAGCTTCTGTTTGAATTATAGGCAGGGGCTCAAGAAATTCAAGCTGCATTACTCTCTGCTTAATAGCTGTAATATCAAGGTATGCTGCTGGACAACTAGGTTATTTATTTGTTTTTTAAATTGTTCCTTCATTTGATTCAGTTAACAGTACCTTGGTAAATGCCTGAAATGAAGGACTGCAACCATGGCATGATGGCAAGAAAAGAATTTGGATTAGATCACATCAGGCTTCTATTTTAGCTCACCATAGGCTGGAAACACATATTCCAACCCTCCATTCACCTCAGTACTTTAAATTCTACAAGTAAAAAGCTGCGATCTTCAAAGAGAGGATCTTCTGCTGTCAGAGAAAGATACTGAGGTGCTACAAACACCTCTAGGAAAAAGGCTTTTTTTTTATTTTTAAGCTCTAAAAACATCATCATCATCTTCATCTGCACCTTGAAATTTCATTTTTGAATATTATCTAGAAAACAAAGTCTGAAGCAGGGTTATAGCACGCAGTTATTTCAATAACAGAGAAAATAATGTCAGAATCTATTTGCTTTCCAAAACAAAATTTAAAACACTAAAATAATTCTCAGTGAAAGTAATTCCTTTGTGACCTTTCCACTTTGCTTTGTGAAGTGGAGAAAATGTCAACTGATATTTAGGCAAATTCATTAAAACAGAACTAGAGCTCTGGTACAAAACCAAAATAGCACAAAGTTTATATAGACATTTTCAATATTGGCACTAAATATGAGTTTCAGTTGAAGCAGCATTACAGGAAAACTATTAGATTTTTTTCCCCTTTTTTTCCAGGACACGTGTTTTTTAGAAAGTTTCTGTTCACAATCTGCAAAGGCACGCATCACTCTCTAAGAACTAATGAATATAAGATTTAATAGAAATAAGAATTAAACTATTTCAGGATGGTAATTTTCATCAACTATCATTAAGACAGAAAAGTTCAAAATGTGTGGACTGGAAATCCACCCATTGCAGTAAGTTTCTCAATAGGATTTTAACTTGGAGTGCCAGGGCGATCTATACACAAGTCAGTATGTGTTCTTTCAGCAAAACACTGTTTACCTGAGTGGATGTTATTTTCCTCTTGCTTTGAAGAGAGTGTTTTGAGGGCATTTTAGTTTCATTTGTTGTTTGTTTGAATTTTTTTGGTGAGTGTGTGTTAAATGATAGTGCATATTAAGTTGTAAATTAAAAGAATTAGTTAATGCCATATCAGATTTCATACTCAGCTCTTCAAACACATATGAATAGATGCAATTTCACAACCTTCATTCTGATCTTTGTTTACATTTCATTACAATTTTTAAAGCTTCAGTTTATTCTTCTTATTCTTCCCAGAAAATTGACAGACCAAAACCCAGCCAAATTTCCATTCACAAGGTACTACACATGACATGAATAAATAAATACTGCAAACCTATATATGTTGCAATAAGGAAATAGACCTCATCTCGATCTTGATAGTTGTAGAATTTCAAGTAGATGTCAGAACATAAATCGTTTTCTGTGCAAAATACTTCGAGGCCCTGAAAAGTTAACAGGGGGAAAAGCATAAATGAGAGCAAGTACTGACAAGCTGTAAGACGTTTTTTAACAGAATATTCCAGTTATTAATATCTAAATCTTCAGACTCTATACTGGGGAGCAGTTTTGCCCACAAAGTAAAATATTTTGACTTTTTTATTTTTAATCATAAAAGTATTCAGTTTACACCCAACTGAGCAAATAGCTTTACAGCTGTCCATAGATTGGCTCTGCCTAGATTAATTGTGCATAGGCAATACAATTTTTTTGCCTAAGTGAATGAAGTGATACAAAAGAATTAAATGTCTATTTGATTTAAATGTGTTTCCAAACAAAACATTTTCTAGAAGACTAAAATTTCAGTGCAAACACTGAAAGCATACAACTGAGGTTCCACTGCAGCACTCTCACTATCTCTCAGTCATGTACAGTGGGACTCATCACTCCACATTAGCCTCTACATGAAGCAGTGACCAAAATCCCTCAGTGAATCAATCCAGAGAGAAAATACACCATGAGAGAGAAATTAATTCTAACCCAAGATAGGTGTTTGAGATAAATGGAATGAATTGCTCCCTGGTGATACTCCATTCTCCCTTTTCCCTATACTGACTGGTTATGAAACAAATTTTTCATCCTTGTCAGAGTTCACTCTTTCTGTTTTCATCTTTTTGACAACATAAAGAAATAAAACACCTAAAAAGCAGAAGGGATCATTGAGTGCTGTTCACAGCTTAGTCTAGAGCTCTTAAAAACGCATGGTTCTTACCTAACAGTGCACACATTTTCCGCAGGTCATTTTAAGAAACAATAGATACAGCAAGACACGAAAATAAAATAAATATTTGAGCTTACCAGTGGCATTAGCCCATGTCTTCTTTTATAGATGCGACGCACATTTTGCAGTGTTATTTGTACTACTGGTTTCTGTGGGGGATAGGGAGGGGAAAGAAAAGATGGAGATATTCCAGCAGGTTTATGTTCTACCTTACACTCTCCAGACAATCAGAACCTTTTGCTGACTACAAATACTAGCAACATGGAAACTATCCATCCATGTCATTTTAGCAGTGGAATAGCGATGCTAAGCAGTCACATTAGAAAGAGGAAGCTTTTCTTTGCTGTTGTTTTTTGCCTGAGAAGCAAATTAGTTTAAGAATAAATAAACCACAGTGTATTATCACCTGAGTCTGTCACCAGTTACAGTACTCATGCAAGAGAGAAGCAGCACACAAGAAATTATATTAAAAGTAAGAAAGCCATTGGGATGCTGGGAAAACTGTGCCAATGGTGCCACCTGGCGGCTGGAAAAAAATGGCCCTGTCATCTTCCACTGCAAAACATTTTCCTTGCCTGGACATACTTCTAGCATGTCATAGAATCATAAAAGAGTTTGTGGTGGAACAGACCTTTAAAGGACATCTAGTTCAACCCCTCTGCAATGATCAGGGACGTCTTTAACTTGATCAGGTTGCTCAGAGCCCAGTCACACCTGACCTTAATGTTTCCAGGGATAGGGCATCCATCACCTCTCTGGGCAACGTGTGCCAGTGTTTTACCATGCTCATTGTAAAAAACTTTTTTCTATCTAGTCTGAATCTAGTCCCTTAGTTTAAAACTATTACTCCTTGTCCTATTGCAACAGGCCCTGCTAAAAAAATCTGTTCCCCAAATTCCTCCTCCTTTGTTAAACACACTTCTCCAAGTCCCTTTTCCATTTCCAATACTAGCCTCAGACTTTCCTTCCTCTTGTCACAGACATGATCTCTCTAGTTCCTTTCAGAGCACTCAGAGTTTTTCCTTTCTTTTCTCTGTGCCTGGGTCTCCAGACTCCTTCTCTTAACCTTCTGCTTGTCTTTTCCTTGTCCTTAGGGCACTCAAGTTAGGCAGATTCCTTTCTTCCCTCCAGAGTACCCAGCAGATGAGAACACTAGAGGTGGGCTCAGGTACTGAGCCATGTGGAGGGTACTAGCAGCCCAGCACTGGAATTAGAGGATGGGTCTTGGTCCTTTATCCCTGGCCAGACTGTGCTCTACCAGCCTGCGGGACCAGTCATATCCAAATGCAGCAACACCAGGGCTGCTGATGCAAACTCACATGCTGACGAGCAAATTGGGGGAAAAAATTAACCGGAGAAGACAAATTTTCTGGTAATTGTGCTACTGCCACGCCCATACTGAAGTTGTTTCACAGAATCATAGCTAAGCCAGTAGCTTGCTAAGACTACCATTGCTATTTCTGTGACAAAGTTCCAAAGCAGCAATCTATCTGCAACAGGTACTCAATTTTCCTCTAGAGAAAGAAACTACTAGTTTAAAAGAAAACCTAGCTAACATCTTCCAAAGTAAACTACATGTATATAAAGCTCTCACCAGGTAGGGACAGAATCACAGACTACGATTTTGAAATTTATCTTAAATTGTTACAAAAAGTGATCTTCAATTATTAATAGAGAATGAACAAAGGATATTTTGTGCTTTGTCATTAGAAGGTTAAGTTTTAAGCAAGCTAGCGCAGAATAAAGCCTCAGAAGAAGAGATATACCAAATGCAACAGAGTAGCACAGATCAAAGAAAACTAAGCAGCTTCTGATTATAACTGCAAATAGAGTCTTCTCAGAGATGTGCTCTATGTGCATTTAAGAGAAATAGTACAGAAAATTAAATCTGTCCACTAGCAGGGCAGCGTGTTCAGGTTGTATGCAAGATCATCTAAGAGACACTTACAGGATATCCATTAAGAGGCTGGAAGTACAAGTTAGCATCAGTAACGCACACATGCCCTGGATTAGTCACCAGTGGCGTCACCATTTCTGCTTTACATTCCATATGCAGCGTTTCAGAAATGCTTTGAAATCTACAAGTGAAGAAAAGGAGTAAGTTTACCTCCAGTTCTTACTTTGGTAGAGGCACCCTTAAATTCTTTAGAAAGATTTTAGGTTAGCTTATAGCCTTGGAACATCAGAAAGGGGACTTCAGGAAGTCCCCTTTCACACAGGAAGAAAGTTCTTTGTTGAGATCTCTACTTTAACAGGCACTCTAGAAAGGAATGCTGCTGCAGGAAGCCAGTTGACTTCTCTATACAATTTTATTTGGCATATGCTGATGCCCAATTTACAATAAATTCACAGATAAACAAAACAGTTTAGAGACATAAAAAATTAACACATTCCACAACACAGAATTTCCTGCTCTCCATTACAAATGTTTCAGAATTCAAAGAAGATAACTCTCTGAATTAGAGAACTCACACTACCTTAAAAAACCACCTAAGTATCAATGCAGTAGACTAATCAACCAAGAAGCTAAAAATGATTTATCTGTAGCAAGTGATTAGAAAAGTACCTGTTTTTATCAAATGAAGTTCTAGCCAAGCGCGACTGCAATATAGCAGTTATCTAATGTGGAAGGAAAGAAAAGTAAATATGGTCTGTGATTCAAAAGCAATTAAAGTTATTATTCAACAGTGATCATAATATCATTATTAACCAGAGATATTAGAAATAATCAGATACTTACCATGGCAGCTTGATCTCCCATCTTATCTAGACAAGAAGCCCTGTAAAGCTAAACAACAATCTTTAGGTGAAATAGCATGGAGATCTCCCAGAGAGCTCAGAAGACAACAGAAACAGGAGGAGCTTTAGCACTCTCTGTGACAGAATACTAAAAGATCTATTATTACTTCTTTTTAAAGTAGGATAATGTTCGTTCATTGCTACTGGCATGTTATTACTTTGTCTGTATACTACCACCCTGCATGCTAAAAGTTAATATGGGTTGCTTACGACAGCTGTCAGAACTAGATGCTGTTTTCAGCTCTACATTTTAAAAATAGATGCTCCAAGATTTTCACCTTGAGAACAAAAAAAGAAAACTCTACATTAAAAATCAAAAGCTGCTGTGATGAAGTACGTAGTGATACCAAATAACCACATACCTGATGTAGAGTTTGCACAACATCTCCTACTTTCCCAGCAACATCCAGTTGGAATAAGTGTTCTGTTCTGCCCTAAAATTAAAAGTACATGTACCAGAAATGAGTTAATAAAGTTCAGTGGAAAAAACCCCAAGTAAACTAAAACAAAAACAACAACAAAAAAACCCCAAACAAACCAAAGAACCCCAAACAAAACAAAAACCACAACAAATCCCCTAAATAATAAAAGAAAATGTAGTAAAAGTATGCTATCAAAGATTGTGCTATACCTCAAACATTCCCCAAGCAGATGTATAACCTGATCTTTTACCTTTAGAAATTTATCTTCCCTGTGGTAAGCTCTTTGTGCAGTATTTTGTCTGCTGTTTGATACAATGCAACATAATAGCTTTGAAGTGAACAAATTAATACATTGTAAACACCAGTAAATGTACATGTTCTGCCTACTTCAATATCAGGTAAAAATCATGTAAATATAGAACTAGAAAGTAACATATTACATTTAAACAGTTTCTGTATATCTTGTAGACAAAAGATACCAGCCCATTAAATCTTTAAAATCTAGGCTAAAAAAGGTAATCATTCTTCTCTACATAAATAGCTTTGAGAGGAAAAGATCCCAAATTCCATCACAGCCTATTCTGACTAGTCATTTACAAAAGCCTCACTAACACATCACTCAGTATATGTGAAAAACTCCTTTTTCCCCTAAAAAGTTCTCCCAGCTTTCTTAAATGTCACCTTATAGTTGATTTTTTTGCTTTTAATTTAAGTATATTAATAGCATAAGCATGGACCAATTGATACTAAATTTACACATATCTCATACTTAGCAAAGGTTGTGGGAGCCTTTAATGACCCCTGAATACAGTATAAAAATATATCAACACCCTTCTGTAGGTTTTTGTAATTTCTCAGGCTAGTCTTTTTTTTTTTAAAAGTGATCAGTAAGAGTACAGCAATACATTGGTCAGAGGATATAGCTGGAATAATGTAAAACTGCAGGAAGGAAGACATGGAAATCTAGACAATCTTTGGTGTAATGTATGTGATCTGAGCTGAACTGACACCAATCCAAGAGGAAAGCATGCTTCAGGAAGCAAATGGAACTGGGTTATAGGGAGACAAGGAATTCAGCAGCAATTTAGATAAAAGCAATGTAACATTTCACCCAGAGCACCATTTTCCTTCAACAGGGAAAACACAGCTCTCAGAAATCCTAGTGGATGGTCTATAAGGATTCCTTACAGCCAACAATGTAAAAGCTTATGTGAGCAGTTGTCTCTGTAGCTCTTCAGGTATGTGCAAAGATAATAGCTCAGTATTTTGTAATTGATCTGAAATAATCAATGCAATACAAGGAAGACAAAACGTATTACCCAATTCCAGCACTCACTGAAACATATGGAACTGGCAATGATTCAAGCAGAAGATATTTAGCAGTAACAGAAAAAATTCAGAGGTGATTGAAGGTGAACTTGTTTTAAAATGCAGAAACACAGCTGCACTTTAGTGAAGTAAATTGTAACGGTTAACTGTCAGAAATGTTTTAGCTACGGATGAATCATAACTTAGGAGAAAATGAAGTGAAAAGCCTTCTAAACAGTCCTCCTGATTCTTTTCTCTTTCACTGTGTTGGCAATGGGAGAAGGTATTTCTGTGATACTTAATAAATCTTGCACACAGATGCAAAACAGAAAATGGAAGAACTAGAAGACAAAACAGGTTTAACACATGAGGAATTAACAGAATAAAACAAACAAAGAAAGAAAAATTAAAACTCCCAGTTTAGAGGCAGATCTAATCACAAAACCAACCCAAAGGAGTTGCTGGGAGAACAGAAATCATCTCTTGCCTCTTTGCTGTTCACTACAGTAATGCAAATTCTGAGACTCCATTATTCTTGAAATTTCTTACTTGCACAAATATATTGAGAAATATAATTCTGTCTGTTTCAATTCTTGGGCAACATGTCTAACGACTCTGCATTTTCTTTTTGTGTCTGTGTCCTAACTCATCTCAACACTTCACGTGAAAAACCCTTGCCTCCATGCCTTGAAGTCTCCCAGCTTAGAATCAGAGCACACCGATCCCATCAGCAGAAAGCAACTAGAAGTAACCTCCAATTTCTGATGTGAGCCACCTAATCTACAATTTCTTTGAAATGGGAAGCACTCAGATGGAAAATATCAATTATCAACCTCTCATCTGAGGTCTGAGGAGAACTGAGGAGAAGCCATTTAGCCAGGATGCAATGTCCACTGAATAGTAGCAGCCCACTGACAGCTCTGACTGTTGAGACCAAAGAGCTAAACATCAAGGTAAATGGCAAGCATGAAGTCTGCAGTATGTCCTTTAAGAAATATCAGAAAGCCATCATGGAAGAATTCAGATGTGTTATTTCAATACGCACAATTACTTTTTTTTTCCCAACCTTTACTGTCATATTCCTTAAATGATAATTAGCTTACTCTTTTAGAAATGAGAACATAAATCCTTGCAAAACTTCAACTTGCTAAGAATGGTAAAAAAAAATATACTCACTCTTATTGTTTTATAGGGTGCAATAACATTCCTTTCTTTAATGAGAAAAACCTGAAAGAGACATTACAGTTTCAGACATTAAAAAATAATAAAATGAATCAGAAGTACTGATAAATATAGAACTAAGAACACTGTTTAAGCAAGCAAAACACTGTGTTGTAATATCCTGCTTTAGCTACCCCAGATAAACTATAGAAAAACAATGAGCTTTTTATATCAGCTAGCAGTAAGAAGGGGCAAGAATCCAATTTAGTTCAGAGGTTTACTTATGTAGTTTATAGTAGGCTTTTATGCTAATCATATGACCTTCAAAGAGTTGCAATACTAAAGCCAACACACACAGCTACATTCAGGAGAAGGATCCTCCCCCTCTTCTGGTGACTCACAGCCTTAGGGTTTTGTCCAAATGGGAATTTCCCCAGACTGGCAACTCACAACATAAACTACTGTCTAAATTTTCTCAAATGAATGCCTTTCTTCTGCTGCTAAATATTTTGCTTCCAGTTCCAACCACCACGGACACCAGACTTCTTCTCTCATTTCATGGCATGCTTTTGAACAGTTTTATTTCTTCTCACATCTGAGAGGATCTTCCCCCCACAAAAGCCACATGAAACTACTCTCCTTCACAACACTCTCACATCTTCTATAAAACGACTTGACTGCTAGAACATTGGCTTGTAGATATTTGTGCCTTACTATCCACTGTCTGAAGGGCAAGCCAGAAATAAGTCATGGTTTTGCTCTGTTTGTAGGGAAAGCTCACACTTGCTAAAGTTCACTAAAGGCCTAAAGTGCACAATTCAGGATTGGTTCTGAACTGCATAAAACACACTGGACCGCATCACCTACTGTCTTCTAGTTCATGGTCCAAGAGACTTGGCTAATCAGGGAGTCTCTTCCAGTGCCTTGGTTTCATTCCTACAGCTATCACATCCAAGGCTACACTCCAAGGCACTGTGGCAGCAGCCTCAAACCAAGGACAAGCATCAAACTTGCAAGAAGAGATAGGTACCATGCTCTAGGCAGAAGCCTCCAGGCTGCTACATAAAGCCTTCCCATTTCCACCAGCTGACAACAGAGCCAGTTGTCACCAAGAGACCACTCACAGCACCGTCCAGCTAAAGAAAGCAAGGGGTGTGCTTAGAAGCTCACAATCTCAGCATGCCTCTCCAAGTGCTACACAAAAAATAGTGGCAATTAGAGTGGTTCATCTGACATCAGACCTGAATCATGCCAGAGGAGAATCAGAATGAGAAACTCAGATTGCTCTTCTGTGGGATGACTAAATATTACAATGTAGCATGACGTACACTGAATACGTCATGCTACAAGAAAAAGTAGACTTTTTTTTTTCCTTTACTTGTAAGCTGTGCAGAAATTTCAGCATACTTTATTCATTCCCTATTTTGGAGGATTTTCCCCACAATTTTATCTCAAGAAAAAATACTGAAATATTCTCAAATTATTATTCCCATTTACTGTATTTTAAAGCCATCAGTTTCTAAGTTGTTGCATAAAGAAAAGCTGTTTTTCCAGTTATGTATTAACAACTTTTTTTTGAGTCTAAAAGGCAAAGATGTTTAAGATGTTCCAATTATTCACTACATGCAGTTTCCTACAAGGTAGAATTCTACTTAGAAATACATTTATAATTAGATTATGATGTGTCATAAGTGACTACTTGACACTTGAAAGTCTGTATGCCTCTTATACAAAATACCAGCATTTATCATCCTACCCAACCATTTCAGAACACTTCCCCAGAGACAGAATGATGACTAGCAAGCTACACATGGAAGGAATCAAGGGTTCTAACCACACTTGCTATCTTAAAAATTAATTCTCCTTTCCTAGGTTTTTTATAATCATTTACTCTTAAGAACATTTACTAAAGACGTATGGTGGAACCACTGCATGGAACAGTTAGAAACATCTTTTTTACAAACACTCGATACACAAAAATCCCACCAACTCAAGAAACCTTGACTACACAATATTCTTCACAGAAGCAGTTTCAAGATGAAATTATATACACTGATTACCTTAACACAGTCCACAAACTTCTATGGCATGGATAATATTAAATGTCTGAGTTCACTTTTGACTGCAGCAGTACATAACTGAGCACGGCTATCAATTTCAGGTATTGTTAAAGAAAGGTTTCACAAATATGCTAGAATGTTTAAAATAGTATTTCCAACCTCAACATCATTCTTTCCCAAAATGAAAACATCATTTTGAAACTTTTACAGCTTTGGAACACCTACTAACTGCTATTTATCAAAATTTGAAGTGTATTCCCTTGGTTAACTTTAAGTATGAACATCCAAGTTAAACACAACTCTTGACTGAAACCTAAAGACAATATTTCAATACAGCTTCTCAAAACTGTTTGGTGGACATACAGTACAATCCAAAATTTTCACAAAACTGAACTGCAGGGACCAAGATGTCTTTGCCATTACCACAACACCACCGGAGGAAGTAGAAAAAAGTACTTCACTCTACCCTCCTCTTTCATTCAATTCTAAAGTTGCCTGAAGCTCAATTATAAAATGCAAAGTGCAAAAAGTTCACTTTATGCAATTAATGACTTCATGAAGTCATTAACAGTTCAAAATTTCCAGTATCAAAAGCTTCATATTACTGCTGAGTTTTTGACACTAATTAGTTTTGTTTTCAGTGAACTTCCCACCCTAGGACTCCAGTTCTGAGACAAACACCATTAAAGAACGTAAGCTCACTTGTTTATGTAACCTCACTAATTTATACATCAAGAATATGTTATATGCAGGTCTTACCTGGCTACATAGAACCGAAATCCCTCCAGATGTATCCCTAAAATGTAAATAAGATATTTGAAGTGATGGGTGTTTCAGCTTTAAAGGAATTTAAATACATGTGTACAGTAACCCAAATTCACCTACCGTGTGAAAGGGTTATTTGCTTCATTATCTTCTGGGGCTTTTATACTAATGCAGTCTCTCAGTGGTATCTACAGTAAATCATAAAAACATAAAATCTTTCTTAAAACCTTTTTAAATAGAATCTTAAGTTACCAGAAAATTTAAGTTTGCACTGCTTACCTTGATAATGGGTTGGATGTTGTCATCTGGTTCAAAAATAATTGACTTTGAACAGATTTTTAGAGAGCCTCTGAATTTTCTAAAAGAAATAATAAAAAAAATTAGTTGTGTTCAAATACATGAGACTAGAATGACTCCAGTAAATGAAAGTACGTAAAAGTTGTGTACCTTTCATCTTTGTGACCTTTATTTATAATATGATTAGCTGTGTGCTGTTCAAAATAGTATTCTTCCAGGTTAAGAAGAAGTAGTGAAAACCTACAAACAAATAAAAATAATTTATTTCAAGAGGAAATACCTTCACAGTTAGTATTCTTAATAAAAGATATCAAATGTTTAGGAAGTCTTCACTGATTCTGGGCTGCACCCCATATACCAAGAATGCATTATTTTTACTTTTTAAAGGAACAACCTATAGGAAAATTTGTATACACACAAAGGAAGATTGACTGATGCTCTTTCAACATATATAAGATTAGATATTTGATTTTGTTCACCTGCCTTCTGTGGAAACTATTCCAGCATAGCCAGGCTTTCTACCCAGTTTAGGTCTGAACAGTGTATGCCAATCAAAACGTGCAATGACTATAAAAGGAAGGGCAGGAACTAATCGGTTAGAATACAGGAAATTAGATCATTTTGAAGCAAGGCCAAATTACATTGGTGTAAAGTGTTAAGTGAAAACACGTTTACAGATTTTACAACGTGGCTGAGTCACCCAATGGATGAGCTCCGAGGAAGCAATGCCTTCCTCTCCAGCCACAGGTCCTGTACTTCCTCTGTACCACTGCCTGCTCAACCCCACAGGAAGCCAGTAGGGACTAATCCAATCAACAACAAACCTCAACAACAACAAAGCAAAAATAAGAAATTGAACTCCTCTTAAATATTTAATTGCTGAATCATGGCAATATTGTGCTGGTACCACCTAAATGCAAATAGGGCAGATCAGAGGGAACATGAAAATGCATTCTCTAACTTAAACTGCTGCAAGTGATCAAAAGTCAACAGCTTTCTAATAGGGTGAACACTTAGTGTTTCAGCTGTGGGGAACATGCCAGTAGATACTGGTATAGCAGGAGGAGCAAGAACATATCACTTCAGTTGGAAGCAAAATAGCTTGTTTGTGTGCAGGGTTGGTCTGATCTGCAGAAGTACTTAGTATTTATTCACATCCACACTTGGAGCTTTTTGTACTGTGTTCATGATGTACTTCGTGAGAAATGCCCGTGAAAACACTAATAAACACCAAGAGTTCCCTGAGCAGTATTCAAACAGCAGTAACTATGTTGAGAGTTCACAAAATGAACTGGAGTAATTGAATAGCCTGTTCATTAAAAAAACATATTTCACAAAAAAAAAAAAAAACAGCATTATTGGAAAATACATCTTGTTCACTTAAAGATTTGTGTTGTGGCTGTTACACGAAACAGAACATAACAATAAAAGTTTACTGTAACTACAAGTTACAGTGGGTCCATATACACAAAACTGCTTCTGTGTCCATGACACTTTGTCCTAATTCTCTGTTGCTTTTTCAAAACAGCTTTATCTTTACCTCTACTCTCTTGAAAACAGGCATTTTATGATCCCATTGTGCTGGTTTTGGCTTGATTTTCTTCACAGTATCTGCTATGTGGCTTTGTTTTGGATTTGTGCTGAAAACAGTGTTGATAATTCAGAGGTCTTTTTTTTATTGTTGAGCAGTGCTTAAACAGAGTCAAGGCATTTTCTGCTTCTCACCCCACCCTGCCAGTGAGGGGGTTGGGAGTCCACAAAGAGTTGGAAGGGGACACAGCCAGGACAGCTGATCCCAACTGATCAAGGGTTATTCTGTACCATATGGCATCACACTTAGCATATCAAACCATAGCAGCTTCTACACAGTTACCATTAAATTACATTTCTCAATACATCATCCAGTTGAAATCATCTGGGACCAACTTAAAATTTCTGTGCTTTTGCGAACTCAGATTCCTGCAAGTCCTATCACATTTTAAAATTCAGACTTTTTAATAAAGCTACATTTGGATATATAAAGAGGAATTCACCATCAGAATGCCTTTTTTCCTAGTATTTATAAACATATACATTTAGTTTATTATCCACAAGCCAAAATATTTAAGTAAAAAGCTAGGAACAATGGCAATGCCCAGATTTGTTTGAAAAATATTTTATTTCATCAGGAAACAGACACTATTGACATAGGGAACAATGAGCTTCACAGCAATGACATACATGGCACCATAATTTTTTTTCCCCAGGAAAGCTGACAATGCCTGGTTGATAGAATTCATTTCTGAAATTCTTCATTCTTGGGCTCTTTCCTTTGTCTCACCTAGTTTTCTGACAAACTCTTTTTATACTCTTTCCAAATTCATCTCTTGACAGCACTGGCAATTACTAGACTTAAAAGTAAAGTTTTTGGTAAATGCAGGCATCCTTCATATATTCAAGACAAGCCATGTTTTTAACATCAAAACATCGGCTGTTATTTCCAGTAATTAGAACACGCTTACCATAACCCAAAACACAAAACAAGAGAGTTCTCTTCCAAATTTTTCATTAGAACTATCTCCATGAAACTGTTTTATCTTTATACTTGGCACTTTATGAACCAATTCACCTTCCCAAAATCAGAAGCTCTGGGCTACTGGGAAGGACTTGAGGTACACTTTCCTTGGCATAATCCTTACTCCTGCTGAATCAGATGATTTTGTGGAAAAAAAAAATGCAGAAGGTATGCACAAAAACTCAAGAAAAACTCTTTGTACAGGCTACTTAGGTACTTTGGGAAATGTTAGGTTTCTTTCCTTTAAAATGCCATGTTTACTAGCAGCATCCAGGTTAGCCTTTTGCTATTCTCTGCCTGTGTCTCTTTCACGTGACTACTCACTCCCCAAGTTTACAGAGACAGCGTCTCTGCAGAGCTCCTTGCCGGAGACCAATGAGCTCCTAAGCTGTGATCTCACGTTCACTGACCTCGGCTTTCCTGACTTGAAAAAGGTTTGTATTGCTGGCTGGCAGCTGTTAAAAGCATTTCTTCAAACTTTATACCTCATATAGGGCAAGTGCATTTTCCACATTTTATCTTTCCCCTCCACTTTCCACGGAGTACATTTGGTTCTGTAGACTCTTCCAAGCGTTTCTATACTTGTTGCTACTCTACTTGCAATTCTATTTACTCTAACTGCCTTTTCCTGTATTTTCAGGCTGCAGTAAGTCACTTTTGCAGGCAGACAGTCAGATATCAAATCTCCACAAATAGAATCACCAATCTCTACTCCTCTCAAGCACCCACAGCATACTGGGATGAACTTAACAGCTTGTCCAAAGATTCTGTCACAAAAACTGTCGCTTTAAAAAATTGATACAATGCCATAAGTGAAACCAAAATTTTCATACTCGCATCTCAACTACTGGCTAACAAATCTAGATCAGTTCAAGTTACTGCTTATAGTGAACTCTTATGATGCCTCATCTCTGGAACAGCCTCCAGGAACTTCTCAACTGTTTTTACTGGTTAAGTATTTAAATTTCATTTGCCTGTGTTAACGATCCATAGGGTTGTCAAAAAAAAAGGGAAAAAAGCCAAGTTTCATCAGATGCTACTAGAGTATAGTCAGAGTTTTTTATCTTCACAGAGTAAATGTCTTTCACATAAACAAATAGAGCCACTGATAGTTACTGTATTGACAAGGTCCCTCTTGAGAACCATCACTACACAGGATGATACTTCAGGCTTGCCAGGAGGTTTAACAAGTATCTACAGATAGCAAGGGATCAGACCAGTCTCAAGTATTTTGCATAAGTAGGCAAAGTGTCATGAAGGCCTGAAAAAAACAGAACATCAACCACAACGGCTATAAAATTCCAGCACTGGAGATCTTCAACGTGCAGCTGAGCATTTGGACTTTGCTGCCTAAGCAAAGAGCTGAAGAAGGTATTCCAAAGACACTTGTGATATCAAGAGGACTGGCATACCAAACTTATATACTATCAACTGCTACGTAGTACTATAACAAGAATTTGAATGCATGCTTACTAGAGACCTAAAAGACTAATTTAATGCTTCTGCACGTGACAGGACGACAACAACAACAACAACCCCACACAACAAATAACAGTAGTAAGAGAATGCATGAGATGCCCTGTATAAGAAACTGATTAAACCTGTGATAGGTGAAAACTGTTTTGGTCTTCAGCCACTGAGCAGCTGTACAGTTCCCTGTGCTGAGTAATTAACAGCACAGACTGTACGCCTATGACTATCACACTGCCCTGGATCACAGAACCAATGTCAACTCAAATAACAATAAGCAAGTCTGTTCCCAGCCTACTCTCCCTTGGCCTTCAAGTCTGACCCCAAGACATAAATAACCCCTCAAACTCAGCAGTTAGTCAGGCAAATCATAAGCTTTAATTGGCAAATGTACAAAAAATGCTTTGGTATCTAAAATGAAAACAGCTGGGTTTTGTTTTTGTACTTTTAAATTATCAGCAACAAGCAGTATCTGTAAAAAAAAAACCAACAAAACAAAATAAACAAACACTCCCCCCCCAAAAAAAAACCCCAAACAAGTAATTCTGGTTCTAACAGAAAGAGCTGTGTTCAATAGAAATCAAAGGGACCTTCTACATTTGCCCACTGCTCTAAAATTTGTTTTCCTATAATACAGTAATAATCGAATATCACAAAGTTCTTTTTCAGGCAAACAGAAAAGGATCAATTTTGAGATATTTTTGTTATTATCAGCAAGTGGTTCATTTCAATACATTTTAAAATTAATAACCCAAGTTTTACTTGACAATTCCCAAGTATAAATGATTTAATGACTGTTTATTAAAAATCTACTTAGAGAAATTTAATGCTATATCTTGGAAAGCAACTCAAATACCTGTTGACACAAAATCCTTTGAAATCAAGCAATAAAATTCACACCTTAAAGTGTATTACAGGCTATTTTTAAGCTTGCTTCCTAATAGAGACACATTTCACAGGTTTATGTCTGCAATTTTGTGGTCACAATGCTATTTAATGGCTTGCAACAGACTGACGAAGTTAGTAAGCCACAGCTATGTCTTCAGGGATCACTGATCATTTTTTCTTGTACATTTAACTTGACATAAGGGACTATTTTAAAAAAAAAAATATATTATTTTGAAAATGACACAGAGACAAATTAGACAAGATTTTCAAAGGAAGTTCTTACCCCATGAAAGCAGCTATAAGAAGTGAGAGTTTGCAAGGTGTTCAG